AATACTTTAAAATAAAATTGATCCTATATACCATAGATTAATTTTTTTATTCTATTTGTTTTCAATTTGTTTTTTAAAGTTTAAGAACAAATTTAACATCATATTTAGTCCTTAGGTTCTCCATTTTAGCTCTTATTCTATTCTTATCAATGGTAAATCTGTTAGATGAAACTTGATGCATTGCTATACCTTTGGTCACCATTTATAACATGTTTGCATTAATCTATTAGACAAAGGGTATTATTTACTATGAAATAATACATTTTCATATTCTAATGGGTTAACATAACTTTAATGAAACCTTTGATGATTTCTCCCTCCTTTTTTAGACTATACCCATTTTCCCAGCCGGTAGCTATTTTCAAAGACTTAGAACCATCCATGGTTACAGAAAGACACGGACATATCAGAAGGATAAAAATGTCCTATTATATGGAGATACATCAAAGCATCCCATATTTTACTGAGCGTATAAAGAATATTTAAAAACTTGTATCATAATCAGCAACTTAGTTTTTCTCCTTTTCAATTAACAGATGATTTATAGATACATGCAAATGAAAGTCAAAAACAGAATGACTAAAAAAATTATCTTACATAGAAACAAATCCTTGCTTAATAGGTTTACTTGGGAAGCTGTCTCGCACAACACTACGCACACACCTTTGGAGTCCGGGATCAAGAGAGAGAAATAAAATTGTTCTAAAATTCAACTATGCTTAAAATTTTAGGTTTATAACTGTGACCTCAACAAAAAAATACAAAAAAATAAAGTAACACACTACTTTGTAAATTAAAAAGATGTCAAATTATTTTTTAAATTATGCAGGACTCATTTTGCTATCAGATGACATAAGACACTTAAAACAATTAACAACACAACTGAAACATTATTTTAAGCAAATTCATATAAGTCTTGAAAAAAAAAAAATAAGTTTAGAAAATTTAAAAAAAAAAAATTTGCAAGCAAAATATTGTTATTAAAGTTTACAATCAACAGCATATTAAATGTTGAGACTTTAGGACTAGAAGCAATTATCTAATTACATTGCTGGTCTCTTTCACTATATTTATGTTTACTCAATAAATACAATTACAGTCGACTATTAGCCAGTAATTAAGAAACTGGCCGGATGATGTCCAGAGGACTGCTGGACTTACCAACGGTGAAAGAGATGCACAACAAAGATGCCCAGCTCTGACAAGGTAACAACTTCAAGGTCTGGGTTGTGAATGTTGTCAATGACGCTCGGCACACAAATTTGTAACAATAGGATAAGCAGAGCTTGCAATATGGGTGTTGGGATTCTGTGGGGAGAGACAAAACACACAATTTATATTTAAGATCTGGGTTGAGTTTTTTATCTGAAACAAATGATTAAATGAAGATGTTAATATTTATTTGGAAAAAACAAACACTCAAAACAAAGAGTTTGAATGGCATTTACAAACAAGTGTAACATTCACAGACCCTTTCTCCATGGCTATGAGATTCCATCTGAGATAACAACCAACTCTGAGGGCCAGAAGGCGAAGTGCCTTAACCTTCTTTGTTGGCTCAATTACTTTAGGTTCTGTCATGAAAATAAGAACATGTATTATAATAAAAAATAAAGTTTAAAATTATTTAAGTTACATCAAAGAAACAGGAGTTCCAAAATTTGCTAAAAAAAAGCATTAGAATAAACAGTTGGCAAAAATAGTTTAAAACAGTAACATAATTAAATATGAATGAATTCTAAAAAAAAAAATATATTAAAAAAAAATAAAAAGATAGTAAAAATGATAAAATGTTTTAAGGTGATCTTCTCATGATACAGGAAAATTAAAGGTGAATAAAATCTATATATCTCAGTGGTTTTTAACCTTTTTGGAGGTACCAAACCCCACCAGTTTCATATGCGCATTCACCGAACCCTTCTTAATAGGAAAAATAAAATGTTTTTTTTCCGTGATTTTTTTTTGACCTCCGCCGAACCCCTGACACTAACTCACCGAACCTCAGGGGTTCGATCCAACCCAGGTTAAGAACCACTGATATATATATTTTTTAATATATATTTTTTATGTCTCTATAAAAAAGTGATAAACTCCAACACAAGTGATGGCGCTATGCCATCTGCCTACCATCTTCTATTTTGTTGATAGGAATAGGGATGACACCAGGTGGCACTTGAACTTTTTTCTCATTGGCTGTTTGAATGACGGCTGCCATCTCAACTTCAGCTTGTTGCAGGAACTGAATAATAAGCTGGCAAGGACTTGGGTCTGGATATTTAAGTCATAAGTATTCAAATATTTGAAGAAGTAAAAATGTATTGGTTTTAATTCTTCAGATTACATTTTCTTTAAAATACAACAGTAATTAAACCATTCTTAATTCAGTAAACAAAGGAGTTCACAACACAACTTTGAGAAAATATCAAAATTAATAAATTAATATTTGGTTAGAGGTTTTTGAAACTCTCTTTCCTTCTTATTAAAAGATCCAAATGACACCATACAATTTTTGATTATAGCAATGAAGCTATTTGAACAGTACTTATTGATACTATTTCATAATTATTTTATTAACGGTAATTTTATCAAATACATTTTTAAAAGAATTTATCAGTGAAGCAAGTTAACAATGTTTGCCTCCTTATCTTGGCTGCACAGAGCAAACTTTTGTAGAGTTAAAGGATTTAATGGCTTAAGTTTCTTTAAAAGAACAACAAAATATAATTAAATATAATTAAAAATCCATAAGTAATGTTGACAATCACCTGGGTTTTCTTGACTAAGATGCTCTTTGAGTAATTTGTCATTGAGAATGAACTCAAACCATGAAATATTTGGCAGTGAGGCAGGGGTAATTGATTGCCCCCCTTTCGGGATCTGGGCATCCGTCATTGTGAATACAACTATAGATAATCAGGTTATGTTAACAACCCTAGAGAGAAGAAATAAATAACTGATCCACAATTTTTTTAATTTAAATCATTTTTTAAAAGTATTACTCCAATTCATTTATTTGCAGCCTATAGAAACAATATAGGAATTATTATTTTGTATGGGCAAAACATGAAATGTGTCTAATAATGTCAATAGCTTGGTTTATATAAATATAGGTATTTTGTAAGTAAACTTGAGAAACTCATTTGAAACAAAAGATACAATATAACATAATTTTTATAACATTATTGCATACACACGCTATGACCATAAACAACAAATTTATTAGAAATGAGAGTGTGCTAGTCTCGAGTTTGAAGATAAATTTAGATTCAAATTACAATAAATTACTATTTAAATTTTGGCCGGCACTACGTACACCGCGGCGGTGTACCTAGCGAAACTATTGACTTTGGCCTGCGTACACCGCGGCGGAGTACCTAGCTAAATCATGGTCTGTGGCCTGCATACACCGCAGCGATTTTAAGTAGCAAAACTATGGTCTTTGCAAGTCTTTAACTTTTTGGCCTAACCGGTACTTGTAGATTTAATGTTATACTCGTGTTAAAACTGAAAACTATTTATTTAAAATTCGTTTAGCTCCTTGGGAAGATATTGATTAAGTTCCACGCTTATGGGGCAAAGTACTTGTAAAGCATTTCTTATTAATTTTTAGAAGGGAGGGGGCTGGGGGTGTAATGTTAAACCATGATTTATTTTTAAAGTTAACCACTTTATCCCCCCACCCCCCCCGATTATATTGAAAGGCAAAAAAAGTTAGTTAATTTGAAATTATCCCCCCCCCCCCCCAACCCAGTTGTTGTTTTGTTTTGTTGGGGGCGGGCATTGTAAATATAACATTGTATGTGATCCCTCGGGGTGTGGTGTAAAATGAATGGAAAGCCAGTGAATCTATTTTGTTAGCACCAAGAAATAATTACACACAAATACACTACGGTAAGAGAATCACATACTCGTACATTGATCATGAAGTTGTGAAGTTAAAGTTGTCCGAGGCATTGTCATTGTGATACCAAGCATATGTCAACACAAAACAATAGTATGAGGATAAATACGAAACACGGCAGTGATTTTTAAAAGTCTTTTAATAATAATTAAATATCGTTGATTTAATTTTACATTGGCATTACGCATTTGTAAAAAATTCCGGCGGAGAGGGGAGGGGAGTGCAAAATGTAAGTTTGTTGTGAGCATGGGCGCCCGCAGAAAACTTTCTAGGGGGGCAAAAAAATCGATTAACTTTCTGGGGGGGGGGGGCAACATTTTTTTAGTAATGTTTTAATTTTAA